TATTTCCTATTTTCTATTTCTTATTTTCCATTTCTTATTTCCTATTTCCTATTATTTCTTAGTTTCTATTTTCTAATTCTATTTTATTTCCATTTCCATTTCTTCCTTCTTATTTCTATTTCCCCAGTCATTGGGGAAGCCCATCTATGAAGGTAAGCCACCCACGAGGAAAAGGCTCCCTCAGAAGCTCCCTCTCCCTCCGAGAGACAGCGCCTCTCGGGCTGGGAACGGCAGGAAAGCCCCGTCCAAGAGGCCGAAAGTGCCTGCAGGGGAGAGCGAGAGCCATTTACCCATACAGACGCCCAGACCGGCTTCCCTTCCCGCCCCGCGGTCGCAGTACAAGCCGGCGCTCTCGTCGCAGGGCGTCGCTTCGGAGCAGTTCTCCCCGCGTTGCCGGGCGCAAGTCAGACAGCAGGAGCAGCCGTCCAAGACCGGCGGCACGCCGGGCGCGCAGGCGGGCGGCTCCGCGGGGCACTCGCACGGCAGGCGGCACCGGCGCTCCGGGCTGCGATCCTGCAAAAGAGCAAAGAGCCAGAGGCGGCGTCAGCGGAGGCCTCACTTTCCCCAACCGCGCAGCTCCGACGCGCAAAGGCAAACCTCGGCCAGGGTCCACGGGGAGAAGAGGAAGAGGAGGAGGAGGATGTTCGGCGCCTGGGACCCGGAGAGGCAGCCGAGCCGCATCTTAGGCAGCCGCTCCCGCCCCGCGTCTCCCTGCGCCGCCTTCCCCATCGCGGTGGATGCGGCTCGCCAAGCGCGCACGTCCCCCACCCCGGGAGCCTGTTTATACCCGGCGCCTCCACGATCCGCCTCCGCCGGTTGGATGCGCGGCAGGCGCAGCTGAGCCAATGGCGGCCTGGGGTGTCTTGTTCGGGCGCCGGGCTGTAAACAGGTGGCCGCGGAGAATATTTGATTGAACAAGAGTTGGAAGGGACCTTGTAGGTCATCTAGGCCAACCCCACCACACCCAAGCAGGACAGTCTATACCAGGGATCTCCAACCTTGGCAACTTTAAGACTTGTGGACTTCAACTCTAAGTATAGTATATAAAATCATACATTGCAATGTCCTACCTGTCAATGAATACTTCAGCTTCAGCCATAACAACACAAGAGCACACAATAGATACAAACTCAAGGTTAACTGCACCAAACTTGATTGTAGGAAATATGACTTCAGCAACAGAGTGGTCAATGTCTGGAATACTCTACCTGACTCTGTAGTTTCTTCCCCAAACCCCAGAAACATTAACCTTAGCCTGTCTACTATCCCTTTCCTAAGAGGTCTGTAGGGGGCATGCATAAGTGCACCAAGGTGCCTACCGTCCCTGTCCTATTGTTTCTTTTATTTTTCTTATATGTACCCATTTCATGTATTCATAACTATGTTTATACTTATACCTATTGTCTTGTAAGCGATTGACAAATCAAATCAAAATCAAAACTCCCAAAGCCGGCTGAGGAACTCTGGGAGTTGAAGTCCACGAGTCTTAAAGTTGCCAAGGTTGGAGACCCCTGCCCTATACCATTTCTGACAAATGGCAGTCCAGTCTCTTTTTGAAAGTCTCAAGTGATGAAGCTCCCACAACTTCCGAAAGTAAGCTGCTCCATTGGTTGGTTGTTCTCACTGTCAAAAAAAATTCTCCTTATTTCTAGAAAGTTTCTAGTATCTCTGACAGAACAGAATCCAAGTAGTCCTCGACTTACAACATGGTTCCTTTTAGTGACCGTTCAAAGTTACAACGGCACCCAAAAAAGCGACCAAGGATACCACAGCAATAAATCTCACAAGGTCATCACACAACAACACAGGAGGCTAATGGAAAAGAGATCAAAACACAAACGACCCAGGAGATTACAATGTAGGACCCAGGATACCACAACAAAAAAACTCGCAAGCCCATCACACAACCCATTACCCAAGCCATTAAAACACGAGAGGCTAATGGAAAAAAGATCACTACAAAACAAAGGACCCAGGAGATTACAGCACAAGTTCCAGGATATCTCCCCAACAAAACTCACAAGGCCATCACACAGCCCATTATACCAACATCAACTCCATCAACCAATCAACAGGCAGCAGCGCAGCATACCAGCCCAGCACACCAGCTCCCACCACCAGTATTTATAGAGAGACGGCAGCTCCGATCACACACTGCTTGCACTGGCACAAAGCCGAAAGCACCAGCCTGAGGAATGGCGAGTGGGACCTCGCCGAAACGTCGCCAAGATACTCTTAATCTTCCACGGGAAAAGACCCGATGGGGTTAGGGGCGTTCATCTTCTTGTCTAATGAAAAGAAGGACCAGGGAAGACATGATAGCACTGTTCCAATATCTCAGGGGCTGCCACAAAGAAGGGGAAGTCAAGCTATTCTCCAAAGCACCTGAGGGCAGGACAAGAGGCAATGGATGGAAACTAATCAAGGAGAGAATCAACCTAGAACTATGGAGAAACTTCCTGACAATGAGAACAATTCATCAGTGGAACAACTTCCCTCCAGAAGTTGCGAATGCTCCAATACTGGAAGTTTTTAAAAAGATGTTGGATAACCATTTGTCTGAAGTGGTATAGGGTTTCCTGGACTAGAAGACCTCCCAGGTCCCTTCCAGCTCTGCTATTCTATTCTATTCTATTCTATTCTATTCTATTCTATTCTATTCTATTCTATTCTATTCTATTCTATTCTATTCTATTCTATTCTATTC